AAAACAGAGTGTAATTAAGAGCATTCCCGAGAACATTCACCGCTATCAGCTCAATTGTGTCACTGTCTGACCATATCGACCTGAGCATTCTGAGGAGTTCATTCCAGAAATTGTCACGGCCAATCTGGCGCCCCACCAGATGGTGTAGTCACATCGGGGCTAAATGTTTTGGCATATGTAGAAAAGGTTAATGAAAGGTAAATAGGCAAAACTGCCGGTATGTTAGTCATCGGAAAATGCCTACACATTTGATTTCCATTCACATACGAGAACGTAGTTGAACATGTAATAATTTTAAATAATAGCAAACCTAAGTCGGCGTTTTCACCCGAGCCATTCCTTCGCCATTTCACCGACCCTCGGAGAATCAGAGGTTGCTTAACCTGTATGGGATGCAATCCACGAATCATGCAGCTAAGTATGTATTAGGCTATCCCATAAGTTCGTGCCACTTTTTTGCACCTCATGCCAAACTTCATTTAGCGATTTCTGAATATGACCAAGTAGGCTACGAAGAAGCCCACTTCGTGTAGTAACCTATACGTGAACCATGCCCGCTTAGCTGCTTTCTACGGATTAAAAATCGAAAAAGAAGAGAGCCATGTTGTCCACACTTTGATTACTAGGCCGCAAATTGGTCGAAGCCAGGAGCAGCATTTGTATTGCGATACATCTGCTTGTTCTCGTTCATCATCAGTATCAGAATGGTCAACCTGCTTCGCTCTGAAGACTGCAGTCTCGAGAAAATCCTGACCGGGAGGGCGATCGGTGGCCGATTTGGACCTGCTGTGCTCTACCATTGAAGGCAACCCGCACGAATTATTTTGCTATGACACCACCACACTCAGACATTTCAGATACACGGTGGATTGAGGTCTGCCCTCTTTGGAAATTGTAGAGGCTTGGACAAAGAAATCCCCATGAATTGATCCGTAATCACAAGAGTGCAACAAGAGTTCTGTCAACATCTTCTATCCTATTCCAGCCCAACGCGGTGGCTAGTTAGAAAACTCCAACTATGGCACCCAAATCAATAAAATATGTTCGCTCCGCGACAACCGAGACCATGAGTTTCGGAAATAGCACGTCTCTAGATTTCGAAGCTTAGTTACGGCCGATGTAGACTTTGCGAATCGCGCGATTCGCTAGCGTCTGCGGTCGCGTCGCGGCCAGTGAATCACTCAATTGGCTGGTACCGCAACGCGACCGCGGACGCTAGCGAATCGCGCGAATCGCTAGTAGCGAATCGCGCGATTCGCAAAGTCTGACATCGGCCTTAAGAAGTGCTACCAAATCCACCGTGCAGCGGTAATCAGCCTCCTCTGGAAGGCCAACTACTCTTCTTGCTAAGGAATCACCTTCCATACAAAGAATATGATTTAAAGAAAGAGCCCAAAATCGACCTCAGTGTCTTTTCCAGCTTGAAACTGCCGACGTTCTAAGAGCACGGCGTCGACAATCTGGTGGATCGTTGACAACAAGTCACTGATAGTGACAGTTCATATATATAGATGATTAATATTGCCTTTTGCTGAGATAGCCCAAACTCAAAAAAAGTTCGAAAGTGGCACGAACTTTTGGGACAACGTTATATATTGCATCATTTCGAGGAGACGGGAAAACATGCAGTGACCACAAGGA